TTGCAGCCCATTCACTGACTGACTGCAGCCCATTCACTGATTGATTGCAGCCCATTCACTGACTGACTGCAGCCCATTCACTGATTGATTGCAGCTTATTCACTGATCAATTGCAGCCCATTCACTGATTGGCATAAAGACGCTGAAGTGCCTAGGAGCTGGGCCCTGTAACTTGCATGCGTGTGAGCTACTTTTGCAGACCTCCCTGCTCACAGTTCATTCCGCTGGCCACCTACATTCCCCACCATAGTGACTGACTAGTGCTGCAGATTAGCTGGGTCAGCCTGTAGGAGAGCTGGGGGAACAGGGTGTGGGGTGGCCATGAAGTTCAGGGAGGTGTCCAGGGAGGCCACAGTTCCCGGTGAGATGATTATCTGCCCAGGAGACGACCTTGGGCCTTATCGGCGGCCATCACTGGCACTGGCACGCACCAGGGAGTGTGTGTCCTTCCAGGGCGGCAGGGCCCTCCTGGCTTCGTGAAATGAGTCTCCGCATGCTCCCTCCTCTTCAAGTTTTACAAGAACCTGAGCCTGTATCACATGTTGGAACATGTGGCAGCATTCACCAGTGCAGCTTCTGGTGCTAGTTTTGTTCTATTGGGGAGAGGTGTTGATTGAATCGATCTCCTAGTTATTGGTCTATTCAGGTTTTCTGATTCTTCACGACGCAGTCTGGGGAGAGTGTATGAGTCGAAGAACTTACCCTCTTCCTCTAAGTTGTCCAATTTGTTCATGTGTTGTTATTCACTCTCGCCTCTACCGATCCTTTGTATTTTCGCTGCCTCCATTGTAACTTTGCTTTCACTTCTAGTGTATTTATCTGAGTCTTCTCTCCTTTTTCCTGTGCTAAGCCTAGTTAAACATTCATTCATTTTGGGCCTTCCCTGGGTTGAGTGGGTTGAGGCACAGCACTGTGAAGCTGTCAGCAGCTACTGCAGCAGGAGTTCCATCCCCAGCCAGGGAGTGACCCACATGGCACAGCAGGCCTCTCCTGACCTGCCCACTGCTCCCTTCAGCAGTGTATCTCAGTAGATCCACTTATTCTGTTCCCCACTTTGTGTCTGGTGAATCCTCTCACCTCCCACACCTCTGCACCCCAGTTCTTGTACGCATTGACCACACATACCCCTCCTCATAGGCTGGAGAAGACGCAGACACTGGGTGGCCTGGAGGTCAAGGGGATGCTCAGGTCCATGGGTGGGGTAGTCCCCCCAGGGAGGCCCTGTCTGGAGGGCTGGAATTGGGGGGAGTGGGCATTCCAATTCCAGACGCGCCTCCAGGTGTGGGTGTGGGCTGATGAGCCTTTGGGAGTACCCCTACACCAGAGAATGGGCTTATCCCGGGTCATGGGTTGGACATGCCCTTCCGGCGTCAGGCCTGCCCGTTGGGGTGAACCTTGGAAGAGGAGGTTCGGTCCCTTTCACTCCCACCCAGTACTTACTACAGGGACTTTGCCTGCAAGACTAATACCCACTGGGGCGAGGGCTGCAGTTTGGGGGGTTGCTCAAGACTGTGAAATGGGGGAGGAAGGTGTCAGAGGGTGGGACCCAGCTCAGTTTGGGGCTGGTGGCCTCCTGCTCCTGCCTGGTTCCTGGGGCCCACAGACACGCAGGGGAGCCGAGGCTGAGCGGCAGAGAAATTTATTGCTGGAACTTGGAGAGGCGCTTCTGGAATGTCTCCCTGAGTCCAGCCTCCTGCCTGGCTAGGCCTGGTATTTCATACTCAAGGGAAGCATCTGGAGCTGGTGGTGCTGCCTGGGAGAGCGCAGGTGAACTGTGCTGGGTCCATGCCCCTTTCACTACTCAGGGGCCCTGGGGCAGCGCTGCCTCCGGGAAGCCTGGGCTCCCGGCGGGGCTGCCCTGGCTTCCTCCTGGCCTTCGCTCACTTCCTCCTGGCCATCCTCTACTTCCTCCTGGACATTCTCCACTTCTTCCTGGCCATTCTCCATTTCCTCCTGGATGGCCTTCACATCCCCGTCCACTGCCTCCTCTTCCTCCTCCAAGACCTTCCAGTCCTCTTGGGTGGCCTCCACTTCCTCCTCAACAGCACTCACTTCCTCCTGGATGACCTTCACTTCCTCCTGTACTGTCCTCACTTCCTCCTGGACAGCCTTCACTTCCTCCTGGACAGCCTTTACTTCATCCTTCAGACACTTGTAGAATGAACTGGACTAGAACAGAGTTAGGAGGTCAGGGGTGAGTGAGAGCCCTGGGCAGGGCCAGCTGAGGCCCTCAGAATGGGAGCTGGGTTGGAGGCAGGATGGAGTCGGGACAAAGGGAGAGGGTCCCGCCCTGAGGGTCTCACCAGGTCTTGCAGCTTCAGCCCCAGAGCCAGGTTGTCTGCTAGGTTTGTGGTCAGCAGCGCCTGAAATCTGGGTTGAAATGGAGACCCCCTTCAGCCCCTGGGCTCTTGTACCTGAGCCCCCCGTTGCCCAGACGTCCCGCCTGAGCTGCAAGACCCACTAATCAGGCCTGTGTGCCCACAGTTGGTGGACAGGTGGGGGGGGGGGCAGGTCCCGCTCACCTGTGGGGCGGGGGATCCCTCCCCCTTGGAGGGGCACGCAGAACAATGGGGGAGAGGAAAGGCAAGTGAAGGAACAGCATGAAGCCCCAGGCCTGAGCCCCGTGGGGTCCAGGCCCCCCCACCCCCCAGCTCACCTGAGGCAGTCAGCCCGCAGATGGCTGAACTCCTTCATGGTCCGCTGGGGGCCCCACTCGTCCTCACCCAGGAGCTGCTTCTCCTGCATCTCCCAGTCCCTGGTGGGCAGTGAGTGTGGGACTGAAGGGTCTAGACCCAGCGCGGGTGGGGGGGTGTCTGAGGGCCCCTCCACACCTGTGCGGGTCTCCCCTCTGCACACCCCAGGCAGGGGTGTCTGCGGCCCCCGTCACGTGCACACCCCCACAGCCTTACTTCTCCGAGTCCTTGGGTTCCGGGGGCTCCTCTGTGTTCAGGAGTGTCAACAGGAAGGTGACCGTGGGCTCTGGCTGCAGGTCCGGCTTTTGCTCTGAGGATGGCGACTGAGACAGCCCAGGTGTCTGT